TTGGCCACGTCGCTGATCGGACGTACCGTCTGGTGGCTTTACCCTCGGCTCCATGATTTCGATTGATGACCAACGACGAATCATCGACTCTTCCTTTTTTTTGTCTGTACGTGTGTTTCGCAAAGATCGCACAGAAATATGAAATTGGCGTCTCGTTGAATATTGTAGCGTGCTAGTATCGATGGAGAAAAGGACTCTCAAAATAGAGTTTTCTTCCAATATCAAATGACGATGTGTCTATATATTCTTATGTGTCTACATTTAAGCGATTTTTCATTTTATTATTTTTTCGAATATTAATATTTTTTATAATAATATTATATTAATAAATTATATTAGTAATTACTATATCAATAATTTATTATATAAATCATTTTTAAATAATTAATAAACTTAATGTTTCTATTTTTCCGAATTGCGACGATGCGGAAAATAAATTTTTGCCAAACACGAGCACGAAAGTGTCGACTTGATTATTCGAAACATCATTTTTATATTTTATTAAAATCTTTAATTGTCGAACAGTACCATTATTTCTCGTGATATCGTCCAGTTCAAAATTTCTCAGTCGATGACGTTCATTTTATTTTAATTACTATATTAATAAATTATTATATTATTAATCACTATATTAATAAATTATTATGTTAATAATTCTTAACAATAATAATTGATAATTTTAATATTTCTATTTTTTCGAATTGCGACGCTGCGGAAAATATATTTTTGCCAAACACGAGCACGAAAGTCTCACTTGATTATTCGAAACATCATTTTTATATTTTATTAAAATCTTTAATTGTCGAACAGTGCCACCATTTCTCGTGATATCGTCCAGTTCAAAATTTCTCAGTCGATGACGTTCAGTTTATTTTAATTGTTCTAAATATTCGAAATGATCTTGCGGTCCCGCGCGATCAAGACACGTTAATGAAACATCGATGAAACTACGATTTTACCTTTTGCAAACGTTTCTACAACAACATTAACTCTTGCCTACTCTTCCGCGAGAGAAGTACAACCGGTGATTACCATCGCGAGAGTATAATGAAACGCGGTGAATAAATCGCGAGATGATTCCGCGGGAACGGTGGTTATTTATCTTCGAGTGTAACAATTAATAAAAGCGGTAGCGGCGGAGGCCAAGAGTGGCTTAACAAATCGTCGAATGATTCGCAGAAAACGAGACTATTTACCGCTAGGGGAAACCCCTTTGATGTGATCGCAATTACACGGCAGAGTCGAGAGAGCGAAACGAATGAAAATTGTTGCCTACTCGCGAACCACTCTCGCGACGGGGGCAAATAATTAATGAACAGGTTACAGTGCTTGTTCGCGTGCAACGTTCATCGCGCGCGCGCGAGCTATAACGGCTTGTCGAATGATCTGCGAAAATGAAGCTGTTTCGTAGCTTCGTCGTACGATTGATTCGCCTTCGTCGAATGAAGTAACAATATCGCACGCTTTCGACCTTTGACATTATACCTACTTTCGATCTACCGACGATTAACGAGATTTATATCTAACGTGTTTGGTACCGAGGAACGATCAAGGAGACGAGCACGAGGAGTTGTTCAACATTGTTTGGTTGGTTTTTTAGATTTTCATTCTTGCAGTTTTAGTTTGTCTTTCGAGATTCGAACCGACATTGAAAGATTGATCGTGTCTTGATTGGTATTTAATAATAAAAGTAATTTTACAATAAAATTGGTATAACGTATGCAATAGAAGTACATAGTAACATCTGACTATAACATATTTACGAAAAAAGGGAAAATTCACAAGTATACTGTTTTGCACGTTTAGTGAGTAAAATATTTGCAATTTTGCAGAAATCAAGATTCGAATTTGTCTGTAATTTGTGTTTGAATATATATAGTTTTCGTAATGAAGAAAGTATTGACATTTACTTATAAAAAATATACTTATTACTTATAATAAATATCTTTTAAATATATTGTTCAGAAAAATAGTTTTTTCGTAAAATAGTATACGCTATTAAATTCGTCATTAAAAAATAATACTTCGATCAATTTACGAAGAAACTTCTTTAGTTTCCAATAGAAATATTCGACAAAATATGTTCCGGATCCTCCCAATTTTAGTTTTCATCTTTTTAACATCGATGATTGCCGACAAAGAACGAAAAAAAGAAAAAAAAAAAATACATGTCAAATAATTCTTCAAAAATTATACTCATGCCTAAATTACATCGAAATCTATTGATAGTTTCTCCAAAAGCGTGTTAAACGATTAAGAAACTTTTTTACCATTTTTCCAAAGAACCATTCCTCGAAAAAGTTTTCCCTTCGTGATCAGTAGAATACAATGAAAAAAAAAAAAAAAAATGACCTTGAACTTCAAGGTCAAGATCAATTGCGCGGAAGATTCTTCGCACGTACCTCCATCGAATCGAAGGAATAGAATTCATCTACGATAGCCACGGGTAAACTTTACTTTTCACCCTGTGAAAATCGGAAGCGAATGAAAGTTCCATCGGTCGTGAAAATCACGAGGTTCGTCGAATTCGCGAGGATCGAAGACGAAGGCGATTAATTTCAGGAGGCATTTAACGCTTCCTCGAGCCCGCGAAATTTCCGGCAGTCGAAATCATCGTCGGAGTAATTGAAAGTTCGCGGGGGGGGGGGGGGGGGGGAAGCGGCGGTCAGTCGGTTCGACGAGACGAAAAAGTTACGCTGGTGGAAGCAATGGCCCCGAGCCCGTCTCGATTCGACTCGAGCAGCATCGATTCTTGTCGTGGTACGAAACCGTCGACGAACTTTCTGTCGAAACGTACGATCCACGATTCCGTGCGCTTCGCTCGAAAGTTTCCAAACAAAAAAAAGACCCCGAGTTCTCGCGTAATGATAGCTCGCGCGGGGAAATTACGCTCCGCGTCGCCGAACTTTCGTGCCTTTCTTCGACCGAGGGGCGATTCCTCCAGAACTCGATGCTTTTCTGACCATTCTGAAGCATGAAACATCCAGCAGCTTAACCTTGCTTTCGATTCAGTTACTTCCTCGCCAGGAAGCGAAAGAATGAAGGACTTTTTCAATCCTTTCGCTACGATAGTCCATTTTGAAATAGAATTTCTTCCGATTTTCCTCGGCAATATCTTGACGAGGACTTAGAATGCTCTTTTTTTTTTGGATACATACTTTAATCTTTCAAATTTAACTTAATCTAACCATACTTATATACTTAATATAGTATAATTATACTATATTCCGACATATTGTACCATATTGCACGGTGCTACAACATATACTATACACTATTATACTATATTACTTAAATATATTACTTTATAGCATAGAAACATATACTATACAGTATTATACTATATTAATTAAATATATTACTTTATAGCATAGCATTTTATATCATATAATACCTAATTTTTCTCATATATAACTTTAAATTTTTAAGAAGCTAATAGGTACATCTCATATAGGCCTTTTTTGCGAATTGCGATAGATCTCTTTATCACACTGACTTTTTATCGTATAAGATATTCCACTGTCGAAAATAGAAAAGATAGACAAAAAAAAAGCTCGTCTCGATCTCTAAGGTGCCTTCTTTCCATTCAGAATCATTCGATCAAAGATATTCGTACGATTAAAAAGAATATTCATCCGATTAAAGACGCTCGTCACTTAATTTCGCGTTATTTGACCCCTTGCGCAAATGGTTTGCGGACCATAACGAGTGACCCAACCGTATACAATAATTTGTCCCTTTCTTTCCTTCTCGAACTCGTCGGTATCATATCACTCGATCGAAATTACTAAAAAGTAATAAATTTATTATTTGTTGTTGCCTGGGTTATACTTAAATATACTTAAAACTACTGAGAAAAAAATGTTGCAGTTTGGGACTGTTGGCACTCAGGTACTTGTTTGGATAATTACATCTTGCAAAAGTAGATAATTCAGATAATCACATCTACGAAAGTGGAACAAGTGCGTATTAATTTTTCAGAAGAAGGTCTGTCTCGATGCGTTTATTAAGAAAAGAGCGAATTCGAGAGTATTATATATATATATATATACACAGGGTGTCCCGTTTTAATCTATAAATGCAATCATCTCTGAAACTATATTTGTCATTTAAAAAATGTTTCAAATAGGATAGTAACTTGGTATATTTATTTATTTGGTATACTGTCTCTAGATGAACGCGTGCAGGAGATATACGAAGATCACTATTATTCTTTCAAGTATAATTACGTAATTTTTCTTTCGCATTAGTCGGATGCAGCATCTATTTTTCGTTCTCTATGAAAAGGTATTAACCTATCTACGTGTAAAATCCATTATTTTATGAGACAATTCTTATAAAATCTATGCACAAAAGACAAGAACAGTATGAATACTGCTCTTGCCCTTTCTGATCTGTCATACGACAGGCTTTATAAAATTAAAGTATTAAACTATCTCTAAAAACCTATTAAGTCAAAGTTAAACTCCGTACAATTAAACAGAACGTTCACACACGGTCTTGCAACACCTTCGTCTCCCTCCAGCTCGAAGCTCAACCCTACGAAAAGATCGAAGACGCCATTCAGAACCACCACGCCAGGAATCGATAGACCAGAACCGCAGTTCGCGCAGCAAATAAAACACGGTGGAACCCTTCTCTCGACGGAGGGAACAGCCTCCTCCTCGAGAACGTCCTTCTCGATGAACCGGATCCCGTCCGATCCCGGAAGAGTCCTCGAGTCCGGGCATCCCGAAGGATTGTGATTCACCGTCACGACTAAATACGTGTGTACAGCAGAAAACGTTTGGGGAGTGGCGTTCACTGGTGTGTATGTATGCGTGTGTGTATGCGTGCGTGCGTGCGTGCGGGGCCACGTGCGTACACACGTGGAGCAGAAATACCGGCTAAGTGAAGAGAGAAGAGCGAGCGAGCAAGCGAGACGGACTGGTGGCTGGTTAAGCAGCCGCGGGACGGTGAGGCCGTGGTTGTGCTCGAAGCCCTATGGCTCGTCGCTTCGGAAAGAGAGCTCAGTGCTACGATGGTCAGCAAGCGGACAAGTCGCGCGGTGCCAACCGGGTGCAAGCAACACCGTGTCTCGTTTCTCCGTCGCGCTCTCAGTCCGTCCATCCATCCATCCATCCATCGGTCGGCTGTTTATGCACGGAGCGAGACGGAGCGAGTGGATCCGCGAGGCACGATAGAGAACGGTATGGGAACGCGTGTCCCGCTTAATCGCGCCTAATTAAGACGATTCGCTGTCGTGCGGTGGCCGCGCGAGCGCGCATGCACTGTCATTGACCGTCTGCGGTCCGTGCCTCGTAAATCATCGCGCGAGCTTCCCTACGCCTCCAAGCACAGAATGCCGCGTAATTGTGTCATTACGTTGGTCGACGTACAAATTTATTTTCGTCGCCGTCCGGCCGTCGATTAATCGGCGAGCGGGCGTCACACTCGCGAATTCGTAAAGGAAAGGAAAAGAAAAGAAAAGAAAAGAAAAAAAAAAGAAAACAAAACATCTCGTTCGCGAGTGTGGTTCTCGAGTGAATGAATGGGTGGACAGATAATAATAATAATAATAACAACAATAACAGTCGGAGACAGACCGGAATCTTGCGTGCGAGAAGAAGGTTCAAAGGGAGAGAGAGAAGCCAAGCGGGAAAGTAGCACGTGCTTGCGGCGATATTCCGGCGAGGAAACCACGTGGCCTGTGACAGCCCTGACTGGGGACCGCTTTCCACCACCGTAAGTTGCCGATGACGAATTGCGTCTTAACATCCCTTGGACACGCGCGCGCGCGCGCGCGCGCGTTCAATCGACGAAACGACGTCGCAATTGTCTCTCGTTACGTACTTTCGCGAGCCACGACACGGAGTTTTAGTTTACCAACCATTCGTTCATCAACGTCGCAGTTAGCTGTCGGTCAACCGAGAGTACACAAACAATCGCGCGTGTGTTTTCATTCGAAATTTTATTATTTAACCACGTTGGGCGCCGCGTCGGTCACTGGTGACCTGGCGAAACAAATTTACTTGCACGTATTAACAATTGAAAAACTTATGAAAATACATATTACGATAAATATATACAGGGGTGTTTCGTAACTTGTGGGACCCACTTTGGCAGCTGATTGTACGCCTAAAAATAATGAAAAAAAGTCATATAAATACATGTCCTATCTGTCTTCGTGTATGAGATATAATGAATTTTCTGTTTTAATTACTTTTACAAAAGATGCTCGAAATGACTACCTTGCATTTGAAGACGAGCCAGCACGCGTCCTGTCATTCATCTGGTTACTCTCTCTATCGTTCCTGGTGTTTCTCGAATTTGTCGGAAGCTTTGCTCTATTCTATTTCGTAGTATTTCAGCATGTTCAATCGATGTTGCGTGTACAATAGATTTTAAATGTCCCCACAAATGAAAATCTAATGGATTCAAATCCGGAGAACGAGCAGACCATGCAA